GATGTTTCCACACGGTGAGAAATATGTACGACTTGGAAAACATTTCGATTTTAGAAAATGTGCTTTTCCCCCGTCTTATGCTTTTGGGTTAATAGTTGTGGTATTTGCGCTTGTAAACGTGTCCTACACGCGCAGTGCCCTCCCAGATGTGCCTCTCTAACGTCTGCCTCTTGTTGCAGCATGCTTGTAGCCCTCGTGTTAACTCTTCTGCAGGTCCAGTGGGGAAGCTCTCAGGTACGAACCCCGCATGTGCGGTCGGAATGTGTACTGTAGAGTATGTGCTGAAAAAATGGAAGAACACCTGATCCTCAGCGGGCAACAGCAGCGACTAACAATTCAACATTTCCGATTGACCCTATGCAGAATATCCGAGTAGTCAAATAAACAAGTATTTTTAAAATAACATAAAAAGACATTAAACCAAAACCTGAAACTTGAATCTGGCACACATTCACTCGAGACGCTGATGTTCTTGCATTAAGATTGTTTCTAATAATTCTGATGACAATGAGTGAGGTGTTCTTACAGCTATACAGGAAAGCCCTGACGAATTGTGTCTTTCTAGCCCTGCTCAAATGGTTTCTATCTGGACCGCCGCAGTGGACAATGTATAGGTAAGATGGAATACAGCCAGAATCGTTATAATTGTGTCTTTTCTGTGACTTAATTAAACAGAGAAATGTAGAGCTGTGAGCAATAGCCATACAGCAGTTGCCATCAAATCAGGTTAAGCTAACACCTTTCATCTGAAGAAGGACATAACATTGTTTTAAGGCATCATAGTTGGATAAGATCAGATCATTTTATTGGCCATATACAATTTCTTGTATTAGGAATTTGTCTTTTCACATACCCCAGCTTGTTCTCCATGAGACACACAGACACACAGACGGGGAGAGAGAAGCTTGGGGTCAGAGCGCAGGGTCAGCCATTTTTACAGCACCCCTGGAGCAGCTGGGGTTAAGGTCCTTGCTCAGGGGCCCAACGGAGTAGGATTCCTCTGTTGGCCGCAGGATATGAACCGGCAACCTTCCAGCCATAGGTGCAGATCCTCAGCCACAGAGCCACTGCACCTCCCCCAAAAAGAGCTTATGGCACTGGTTGTTCCCAGGAGGTCACCCTGCCCAGTACTGAGCTGGCCCAAGCCTGCTTAGCATCTAAGATCAGACGGGATCAGGCACACATACAGTCTGGTAAGACTGATCAGAATGATAACATAAAAGCACCAGCATGGATTCTACCCTGTCTGTTTGTGAAACTGTAAAGGTGGGAGATCATTACATGCGTTTGTGTTTTGAAGTGGTAGGAACTTTGAGTAGCAGAAAAGACTGCACGAATGTGGGTCATTCCCCCACCTCTTCAACGTGCCAGACGAGCGTTTGTTTAGACGGCTGTAGTGAATACTGGGACATCACCCCGAGCCCCAGAGGGAGGACGCCACGTCTTAAAACCTCCTGTCGCCCAAGGGGGCAGGCGGGGGCGGGGCGGGGCGGGTGAGTGGTGCAGTCTGAGGGTGCTGACGGCCTGCCTGTCCTCTCCCCCACCGAGATATCGACGAGTGTCGGGTGATGCGGGATGCCTGCCGGGGGGACATGAGGTGTGTCAACCAGAACGGGGGCTACATGTGCATTCCCCGCGAAACACTCAGCAGACCCAACTCCCCTCCCTACTCCGGACTGCCCTACCCAGATTCCGCGGCGCCCTTCTCCAACCCCTTCGCGCCGCCCCCGGCTCCCGCGCAGCCTCCTAACTACCCCACCTCCGGGAGAGCTCCGAGCTGCCTGCTGGGTTACACGCTCGGGGAAGACGGCCAGTGTGTCGGTAAGACGGACCTCCTCATGCCGACGACTGCCCCACGCGATCGTGTTGTGCACTCTGGTCCAGAGCTCCTGGGGAAATACCGCGCAATTATTCTGCCAAAGTAAGAATGTTTCGGATCTCAGGGGTTCATACTAGCATTTCCCCAAAATAATCATACTAGTTAGCATTTATAATGTGGACGATCTCTTTATCTGGACATATAATCCCCACAGTTCACACCATGTAATGGATGCCTTTGGGTGCGGGTTATCTTCAGCTTCTATTAAGACTTCCATGACGTTCTAATTACTGTATGCCTTAGGTTTAAACTACAGTATTGGAAATTACACACAAACTCAAAGGATTCGCATGCTATTTCTCTGCACTGTATTTTTTAAAGTGCCCCACAGAATTGGTGTCATAGAAATTCATTCCATTTGAATGGTGAAGCTGTTTCAGTTGGCATGGATGTTGTTTGGTTTAGTCATTTGATGAACGGTGAGCGATATCTACTCCTCAGAATTCTATATTGTATAAAGAGCAAACTGGATAGAAAAGAGTAGAAAACCAGGAGAGGCAGTCAGAACTGTGGTGGGTAACGTCTCCTGTAAATGCTACCAGGCTACAAACCTCACAGTGGACACAAATTAAACAGCATGGGCAGAGGTTTTGAAATAGCTTTCCTCAGCTACAACCACATTACAGACCTGGAATCTACTCCATGTTCATTCCTATAAATCAAACATCAGAGCATACTGGCGATGGATTCAGAAGTAAATGTTAACTGAAGACGTTTAGCTTTACCATTTTTTGTTTACTTCATATACTGTGTATGTGCATTACATGGTTAAGTCTGAGGAGAAAGGAATGTGCACAGCA